TTTATACTGAGGAGGTGGAGTCTCACCCGGGGGTTGCTAGGTGAGGGGCTGAACACAGGTTCCGGTGGGTTGTCGTACAACTTGTGACATCACAAAATGTAGGAAGTATAAAACTTGTCATTAGTATACATTAAAAATACATTCACTTACAGTAAATATGCCCCTGGGCGCATTTTTTTGGTCCTAGGACTGTTTTTTTAAGAAGTACATACCAAAAGTTGAGTAAAAAACCTTTAAAAAGTGAATTTTGCATAATAGGTCCCCTTTAAAATACTAAAAAGAGGTGTTTGGGATGTATGATGTATGTATCTGTGTGACATAAGGGTCAAGAACCATTCAGAAACTCCAGTTGCTCTCATCAGCAGCTTGATGACAGCAACATGTCAGAGCAGCCCAGTTTCTTTTCCATGCCTCCTTTGATTCCACATTGATTAATTTACTCTGAAAACTTGTTTAAGATAAGAAAGTATCTCCATCTGTGACTCCTGAACTGCCAAAGGGAGCATCAGCATGAAATGGGCTGTTCAGCCATTTAATTGTGCTGTCTACTACTATGTTGGCCCAAGTCAACCTTAATGGTTTTGCTGACAAGCAAAGAGAAAAAAAACTGTACATGACATAAAAAGTAATTTGWGTCTAGATTTCTTGAAAGCCTAAAAAACAATGTGTAGGTTGTGTCTCTAATGTTGTGCAATTACTGGTTTATCAATTAAGTGGCCATAATGCTCACAATGCTTCAAACAGATACAATAACAACAAGTAAAACTAGAATCAGTCGACCCAAATGAACAATTCAACCCTTTAAACAACTACACTGTGCTGGAAGAGTTCTGCTAAAAGTGCTGAAATATCATCACGTTTCTCTTTACTTCGTTGTATTTTTTTCCATGTACCTTTATATATATAAACAAAATTTTTCACCTCAATCCAAGTATTGGGAAATGTTTTAACTATTTGTTTTCTCACCCAAAAGAAAATTWAAAAAATGGTTAAAAGCTTCAAACTGATACTTACAGAAGCATGGGGCCGCTGATGGTCCCTGCAAATGCCTTGTTATCCATCCTGGTCAAATACTTATTCCTGTGAAGGTCACTGGACAAAGAGAGCACAAATACAAGGTTCTGTGAAGGAAAAGATATCCTGAGGCACAGCATAATATTTTCACAAGCCTCATCACTGCACATTCCTGTGTTTCATTTTCGCTCATTAAAGGGGCGGAACATGACAGAAAAAAGGTCTCACTTACTGTAAATTGTTGTTTCAAATTAGCCAGGATAAACTATAAAGGTGTAGTCCTTAAACAAGGCACGCCCTCGTGCACATCTCCCCAAATCCCTTAAATCTAATAGGAATAATAGACCTGTGAGGGGCGTGTTTGTCTTGGTCAGGCCGAGGTGGGATCAGTTCCCTCTCAGAGGAAAGCTAGTGCCAACACAAACACCCATGTGGTAAGACTCACTAGTAGCAGACTGATGACTTCATTAGGCTTTTTTTTAAAGACATGAAAAAATTATAGGTCGAAAAGAAGCAAGAGATCTTAATTTGCTTTTTTAAAACATCGTATTTTACATATTTTTGAACTCAAGTGTTTTAACTAAAATTAGGAACATTTCGCTCTTTTCTTCTCGGTGACCTAAATTAAATGAATTACTAAGAAATGCACAGATAAAAAACTAAGTTTTACAACTACAGCAACCATTTTCACCAACAGACAAGAACTCTTAAAACCAGACTTCCTGTTATTCGCTCTTTTTTTTTTCCCATGAAATTTCCAACTTACTAATCAAGAGCTGGAATTGGGCTTTTTTGTGCATACATGAGACGGCCCAAGAAGAACCAACTGTGATCCCTTTGCTTTTGTGGTGCAATTTCGGGTAAGAAAATACCCATCCCAGACGTCAGAAATGGTTTAATCTAAGCAAAATGATGTTTAATGTAATTTAAGAGAAAATAGAAGGTATCCAAAAGGACTAAAACCCCAATTCAAAAAGTGGGAAGGCAGTGATTCCTACATTTATTTTGACTTCAGTTCCACTGCTGACAGTACCTACCCAAGAGTTTGTCCTCTCAGTGTAGTTTTCCTTTTTTTATACACAACCATTCTGCATTTCTTTAAAACAGAACACAACTTTGAGCACAAAAAAATAAAAAGATAATTTGGTTGTCTTCTTTCTGAAAACAAGACATCGTTTCCAACAGTTTCAGGTTTTAAAGACTGCTGGGGACTGAACAGTTCACATCCTGTACAGATCCTGTATTTTCTTCTTTCACTGCATATGTGACAAATGGGATTTGATTTTTTTTGCTAAAAATGATAATGTATTGATGATTGAGCAGCAGTTTTTGATTTCAATTTTGATTGATTGAGCTGCAGTAATGTGCAAATTTCCCCACTGTGGGATCAATAAAGTTTCATCTTATTTTTATTTACAATAAAGCTGCCAAACATAGTAAAAGGGAAAAAAAACAGTACTTTTAATCCTAATGTTCATCTTTTAAACATTTTCAGAATTTATGTACCAATGTTTGAAGATTCTCAGCTCATATTCTGTTTTGGATCCTATTTTTTAATCTTGTCAAATTACAATCAGAAGCTGTTAAACTACAAACATAGACAACCAATTCTAACACAAAAGCTTAGCTTATATCTAGTTTTATCAGAAAGAGTGAGGGTGATTTTTTTCACTGATCTAAAAAAAAAGCATTCAAAAGACTATTTCAGTTGATGAATAAATACTTACACTTGATCTAACTTTGTACCATTAAAGGCGTGATGTTGGATTTCTTTGAAGCCATTTCCATACAGCAAGCTGAAAGAAAGAATAACCAAGTAAAAAAAAGCTTTATACAGTAAAATTGAACTAACTCAGTCTAGATATTTTCCATGAGCTGATCCATTGTCCTTTCCCTTTAAAGAATGAGAGCTACATGGGACTTACTTTTTTTTGTCTGTCTGTGTAATTTTGTGGCTTTTTGAACAAACATTTAACCCACTTGATGCACTTCACATTTTAAAATATGTGTTAAAATTCAAAAATATCCAAGTCAGGTCAGAATGAGGATGTGCTTTCAAGAGGAGTGATCATTTTTAGGGAACTGTTACAGGACGAACACAACGTTATTCTATCTGTTATTCAATCCCACTGTGATGAAAAATTTGAACCTAATTTTACAATGTTACAAAAAAGAAAAAAAATTAATAATTTGAGTTATGTGTGTTTCCATCTAGTTTGTAGCATATCATCTAGGCTATGCAGTGTCAAATGTTGATGTTACACATGGTTGTAAACAACAAGTAGACATTGCAAAGTAGCAGGGACCACCTATCTCAGGACAATGGAGAGAAGTTTTTAGGAACCTGTTGCTCTTGGGAAGTTGTAATTGTAATTTGTGATGTTACATGCTGAATTTGAGAACGAAATGCAATTCTCTTCGCGTTAAGGGAATATCTGGAGAGAGGGTGAGAGCGATAAGAGCAGATCAATCATGTGAGGTAAATGTTCAGAACTTATTTGGCACATGTGTTGCATCTCCTCTTTTGAGCATTACGTCTTTTTCCATAAATCCAAAAACCATCTCAAGCAAACATCATTTTTTTTGCAAAATTGAGGAAATTTTTTATTTATTTTTTATATTCTATTCCATCAACCTTTTCTAATGTGATACTTCAAAATGTGAATAAAAAACTAGAGAAACAAGGCTATTGTTCTAATCTGCATTTCCTCTATATTGTGGTTCTGTAACCTAAAAGACGCATTCTAACCAACTTTGCTACTAAAGAAATTTAGTATAGAGCCACACAATCTACTTGTGCCTTAA